AGTCAAGGGAGTCAACAAATGAAGCAGGGACAACCAAGCCTGGCAAGAAAAAGACTGGAGGAGGAAGGGGAAAGGCTGGGTCAGGCTCAGCAGCAGCCACCTCGATTGAAGGATTGGCAGAGAGTCTTCTCGGAGACGGGTTGCCAGAAGAGAGGGAAGCTCGAATCAAAGCGTTGGAGTCCATTGTTGAGACCAGTGGGAAGCTGGAGAGCATCGTCACTGGAGTCAAGGAGAAGATCACCACACCAACGAAGGTGGGAATTACCAAGATGGCATCAGATGAGGCACGTGTCTCTGCCTCTGCACGAACAAAGGCCATGAAGGAGCTACTTGCAGCAGCAAAGGCGTCTGAAGGTGGTGGCAGTCGCAAGGGCATTGAAGACACTGGTGCAGATGCACTTTCTGCTGCTGCTGTTGGACTGGCAGCGGCAAAAGCCGTGGCAGAGAAGGAATCTAGCGGAAGCGCACAGAAGAAGGACAAGAGCAAGGGCAACAAGCAAACCTCTTGTGACCTCGTCAAAGCTGGCAAGCATTTGCTCAAGTGACCGTTCTCTGATCTCTCAAAAGAAATGACCGATGATCAATGATGCTTCATTGGGGTTGTGTGTGCCTCCTTTTTCCAAAGGCCTGCTATCATCTATTTGGGTGATGTGCTGGTCATGGAGGAGAAACGTGATGGCTACAAATGCGAAGTCAAAGAATCTGTAGCCTATATAGTTCCTTCTCAGGTACATTCATAGAAGCCTTTTGCCATCGGCATTCCTTTTTGACACGTATTGCTGTTTGTGACAGTGGTACTCTAATTAAATTGCAAGTGCGGCATGCAATCTTTGCACGCGAACCTGGCATGCAATCTTTGCACACGAACCTCGAAAATCCCGTCAGTTTGACAAACACTTTTGAAGGTTTAGGTCAACGTGTTGGTGAAATAACTGTTGGACACCAATGACATTAGTTAATTTATGTTAATTTGTTTGCCGCACATCTTATCTGTATTTGTGCGTGTTTTTTATGTTTGTATTTGTTTGGAAACTGACATATCGTTGGCTGAAAGCCTTTGACGATGCTTCTGAAACAGTTTGAAGTGGGATTCACAAGTCAACATGCCCTTCGCCAGACGAATGTTTGATGGACGGTCCGCTGACACAAAAACGAACGGAGTTGCAAACCAACTCATCACTAAACAAACAAATATTTTATGAATTCCTGAATTCATTTACAAATCATTTCACCTAATTCTTGTCTCTTCGGCCAACTTGAACAGCCCAGTATAAATGATGCTGTGGCAGTTGCAGTCTTTACGACTCTGAACTCTTGTGTGGCTGGTGCAGTGTACAGCGCAATCTTTTGCGTTATGGCGATTAGACAGTTTGGACACAGTGCGGTCTCTAGCCGCTAGCGGGCTCATTAGCTCAATTCTAAAGCAAGAACTTATAATCAATGAACTCTAGCAACGCAGTGGAACTCTATTTTGCGAAGTCATTCATGTGTTGAATCTAATTATTTCACGGCTAGAAAACCATAGAAAACTCAAATGGCTTGACCAATGCCGTTTTACTCTCGACTGGGCGCGTGGAAAAAGCTTACTGTCTCTGTGCTGTTTGCCACTGAGATAGCACTACTGTTGTTCTGACTGTCATTTTCAGATCGGACCAGTATCAGCACTTCCTGTCCCACTGGTCCTATATGCACGAGCTTCCCCCCAACCCAGCGCGGAAGTCTCCAAAAGCTATCCCCAAGTGGGCTTCAATGCCACTCCTAAGATTGGATGTTACGATGCTACAATCTATACCAGATTCATTCAACCAACCAGTGGATCTTTGTTTGATTGCTGATGAACATGAAGGAGGCGCTTTCAAACTCATCAATCGCAATGTGGATATTTCTGGACCACTTGACAAGAGAGCACTTGACGATATCTTGACCAGATCCCAGTCAGCCGGTACCAAACTACCAAAGGTCTCAGGTCTCAGAATGAAAGATGATCCACTACAAGTGAATAAAATCCATATCGACAGATGTTTCCGTCTTGCGTCCTTTGGCTTCCTCATCTGATGCAGTTGGTGGCCTTTTCAGCATGGTCTGGAGTTGCTGATGTTGCTCCTCGGTCGAATTGACTCCAAGGGTGTTGATGAACCCTGCAACTGCCGCTGGGATTGGATGGCCCGCGTCAGCCTCAGGCAAAACTTCAAGGTCAGGCTTTGCTGAATTGACCAAGCTCATGTACGAGGCACTGGTGGCAGTCAAAGCCTGCTGTTCAGCCTCTATTTTGGACTGTATGGCCTTCATCTCCTCTAGCAGTTCCTGGTAGGCTCTCTTGGCGGAGTCAATATTCTGTTGGAGACTCTGCTTCCTGGTTGGCGCCGGCTTCGGCAGCTTTGCCACCAGGTCACGAACCGTGGGGGGAAGCTGCGCCGTGTTCTCCAACAGCGCGTCCTTCAAGCCAGGGTCGAGTCTTGCCACATACTTCTGCTGGAGATTGGGATCCAAAGTAGCCCAAGAAGGGTCCAGGGATTCAGCTGTTGCCTTTTGGATCTTGGTGACCTTTGTTGGCCTGGATGTCAAGCCAGGAGGCAGAGAGTGGATATTGTTGTTTGCCTGTTCTCTTCGCAGACCTGGAGGTTGGCTTGGTGCTGTACCTTGGGTTGGCTTGCGCCATTGCTCACCACACTTCCCGCAGACATATCCTTCTCAAACTCGGTCATCCCAAATCCAATTTTTGCATTGCTCCCCAGCACAGACCTGGTAGGTCCTGCGCAAGGTGTGGCGCCAGCGCGGGGTCATGGATCACGAAGAGGTAGCGGTAGCAGAGGCCACCGAAGTCGTTCGCAAGGACCTTGACGAGGAGGTCACGAAGTGTCCAAGCCAAAGGAGCTTGAGCACCTGGGTCCTTGAGCCAAACCTTGAGCCTATGTATGTATGTATGTATGTATTAGTGTAATGAAACGTAATGTAATGTAATGTAATTTAATGTTTTGCATGCATGTATGTATGTATGCGTTAATGTAATAATGTTTTATTGTAATGTTTTGTGATGTGTTGTACTGTAAGGAGTGAAATGTAATGTAATGTATTTAGTGTAATGGTACGTAACGTTTTGTACTGCTATGTAATGTTATGTAATGCGATGCAATGTAATTCAATGGTGTATGTATGTAATGTAATGTAATGTAAGGTAAGATATATATGTATGTATATATGTATGTGTGTATGTTTGTACTGTTTGTACGTTTGTGTGCGTCTGTCTGTTTGTTTGTCTGTCTGTATGTATGCATGTTTGTATGTATGGTATGTCAGGCCTGGTATGTATGTAATGTGTGTAATGTTTGTATGTATGTGTGTGTATGCATGCATGAATGTATGTATGTATGTAACGTAACGTAACGAGGTATGTATGTATGTATGTATTGTATTTATCTCATGTCATGTCATGTATGTATGCTTGCGTGTATTTAATGTATGTGATGTGGGTTTGTATGTATGTATGTGTGTATGTATGCACGGTATGTATGTAATGTTTGTACTGTTTGTAAAAACGTATGTATGCATATGTTTGTATTTATGTTGTATGCTTGATTGTATGTATGTATGTATGTGTGTTTGTTTGTATGCATATATGTGTTTTGTATGGTATGCATGTTTTGTATGTATGTATTTATGTACGTATGTATGTATGCACAGTGTATTGTCATGTAATGCAATGTAGTGTAATGTATGTATCTATGTATGTGTGTTTGTTTGTTTTGTTTTGTTGTTTGTTATGTATGTATGTGTGTGTGTATGTATGTACGTACGTACGTATGTATGTAAGTATGTGTGTATGTATGTAGGTAAGTATGTATGTATGTACGTATGTAGCAATGTACTGTTTTGTAACGTAATGTAAGTAAGTATGCGTGTTTCGTATACATTTATGTATGTATGTAACTCTTGATATGTAATGTAATGCAAGTAAGTGCGTAAGTATGTAAGTAAGCCGTATGTATGTATCTATGTATGTATGTATATGTGTGTTTAATGCAATGTATCAATGTCTGTATATGTGTATGTTTGCATGTATGATTGTAGAGCTCGTGGATGCCTGGCACATTCCGGAATGTGTCATGAATCGATGGGCCAAGTGAAAGTGCGTATTGACATGACATATGACGACAGCAAGCAGACAAGCAAAGAAAAGCTGGACAGAAGGCAGAAGAGCAGACAGTCAGAAAAACACAGAAGCGGAAGAGCAAAGAAACTGAACGGAAGCAGCGAAGCGAAGCCTGTATAAGAAGAACAAAATTGAAGTGAACAATTGAATCACTGCAACAACAAGAGCAAGAACAAACAGACAGAAAAACGGAAAACCAAGGAGTCAAAAAGAAAACACACCTAAAAGAACAAAGCGGAAACAATTGTTTTCTGTCAATATGGTTTGTCATGGCTTGTCTTTCATGAGGCTGACTCATCATCGGCTGATCTGGCCTGGCCAGTCTCAGCCAGTCTGCTGGTCTCGGCTGTTGCGCAATGGCAAGAAATCGGTAAAAACTCAGCAGTTTCCATCCTTTGGGGGGCTCTGCGCCGTCCCCCGGCACAAAATCTGCACATTGTATCCCACTTCACTGCCTGGAGGAAATCAGGCTTGATTAGGCTTGTAAGTTCCATTTTTGCGTTTAATCCCGCCATGTGCAACACAGCGACGCAGATATGCCATAATATCTCAATTTATATCAATTTATAGTTATTAAAAATATATATGATACCCGCCCGCCCTAGACCTACCCAACCCTATTCAAGGGTCATTCTCAGTGGCTTTGAACACACGCCGCTTGCAAACACAGGAACTGAGGGTTTCCCGTTCCAAAGCATGGGAAATGACAACTTCCCCGTACCACATGTTGCGGAATACTGCAGGATCCTGAAGACAAATAACCAAACCTGAACCCATCCTTACCGTTCACTTTCACCAACTTCAACATTCCAACCATGGTCCTAATTGCCCTGGCTCGTTGTCACGTAAGGCTCTTCAGGAAGAGCGTTCGGCGCCTAGAGTTGCTGGCTCTGAACATATGCTGGCCACATGGAGATGAAACCCTGCAGGACTGCAGGAGGCGATAAACAGTGGAGACATTGAAAGCGCTGTTTCTTTTGCTGCCATTACCAGTATGCAGCTGTGGACTGTACTTCAAGAACAGACGGCCTGATTGGTGTGTCATGTGTTGGAGTGTTAAGAAGAGTTTGTTAGTTCCTTTGCCCATGTAGGATTTGGTTGGATTTAGAACTGGAGTGTGAGTTGGAGTGTGCTGCGCATGATGCATAGGCTGACGCAACCTACTGGGGCCAGGTTCCCCGATGGAGGGTCGAATTTGTCTTGGTGCTGAGGCGAGGCCTTGCAGCGGCAATGTCAGTGGACCCAGGGAATGCACCATGCTTGGCACTGCTGACCCATGCAAGCAGAACATTAGGACACTGAGCAGTATGTCACGTTCTTTGAGGGCCCTCCGCGCGCTCAATGAATCCGCGCCCGGCATCTTCAGGGTTGACAGTTTTCCTTACACTTACCGTTGGATGCTTGAACATTTTCTGCGCAAGAATGCCTTACGGGGCCGAGAGCACCTAGGCCTAGTATGTGTGTTGTAGGACGGGTGATTGTGTTGCATTGCTGGAAAATCTCACAACCTTCTTGGGAAGGCCTTCCACTTTCGTCACTCAGAGGTGCAGAACAGAAAGAAGCGCAACAGAGAGCCCAACAAGAGCACCAAATGCGAGTGCAGATCTGAGACATGTGTGATTCTATTTGCAGATTCCGAGATTGTTCACATGAGTCTCATGGCTGTTTGTTGTTGCTGCTCCTGCTGCTGCTCAACATGCCCATTCTTTGAGGACCGTCTGGTTCAAGCGTGCCGTCACTGCTTCTTGCTTGCTTTTGTTGTGTTTTTCCTTTTTGGTGCTCCTGTAGCACCAAATATGTTGTTTGTCCGTGTGTGTGTGTCGCCCCCTGGTCAAAGGGTTTCCTTTCATGACCTCCACCGCCAATTGTTTCACCCGCAGGGGGATCACCCACGGACTTGACTGGTGATCCAACGAAGAGGGTCAAGTCCCGTGCTGATATCTGGCCTGATCAGCCAGACGTACCTGCACTGAACACACTGACTCCAATGGTTCCCCTCGCTGCTTTTCTTTGTTTTCATGGTCCTTCTTCATGCTACTGCCCCTCAAACACTGGTTCTTCAGCCACTTGCAGCCGCCGAGGGCTTTGCAGCGCGCCACCGCAGTCACGCGACAAACTCTTTTGTTAAAACATCTACACTTTTGCGGACTCTTCACCTTGCCGTTCCCTCACCATTTTTGACCTGGGAATTGAGTTAACTGAATACAATTGTCAGAGTGTGTTTCGCTCAGCCGTCCCACTCGGGTGCTGAGTGTGATCCCCGTCATTGGGGCGCTGTTTCACTGTGAAAGCATTAACCGACCTCACCACCGCTCACTGGAACTTCACTGGAATTCACCTACACTCCCACAGGATCAACTGCTACCACGGCCGCCGGGCCTTACCACGGAACTTGACCGTTTCAACATGCATCGTTTTGCGCAAGATCTCAAAGCATTTTTCCGCCTGTTTTCTGCATAAGCGCTCAAGCGATCCGACTTGACTTTCAAACTGTTTAATTCGATATGCATGAACACACCATCACTTACTACACTCTACAAGAAGACAACTCTCGCTGCTTCACAACTACACAGAATAAACATCAACACAAGCGCTACGACCTCTAACTTACACGATTCCAACACTCGCAGTTTCAGCTGCCGCGCCGCGACCCCGCTGCCGCCATTTTGAAGCTCTTGCTGCACAGCTGTGACGATCTTCACCAACCTTTTATTGGACACATCATGCAGTACCCGTGGCCATATCCACAAGCCATACCACCTCCACTACCCGTTCCATCAACACAACCACCGCCGCAACCGACAGCATCTTTGCCACAGCCACATACCACACCAGCATTTCCTTACCCACAACCTCAACCATACCCCGTACCACAACATCAGACATTTCCAGCTCCTCAACCTATGTCGATTCCCACTCCACTTCCTTGTCACTCAGCACCGGCAGTTGCCCCTCCTTATGGCAATCCCACCGCATGGACTATGGTAACCCCTTCTCAGCCACAATTCACACTACCACAACCCACATTTCAACCACCGGCACCACCCCCGTCTTACCTTGTGCAACAACTGCACCACTCCCCATCCCCAGATCAAGCCACCGCTACACCGATTCAACCTGCTCCCCCACCTCAGCAAATGCTCTCACCTACTACTACAATTGAACCCCAATGGCACATGCCACAAGGGGTCTGGCAGCCATATTCAGCATTTCCTCCAGTTACACAACCTGTGCTTCCACCTCCATCACAACCTCAATTAGCCCTCAGTGACTCACCGCAGATTCCACCACCACACCAGCCAATTGATCCCACCACTCCAGTTCCCAATCAAACCGCCACTGCCACCGGTTCACTACCTTTCTCCATCACCTTCCACCGCATCGGCGCCGCCAGCCACAGTGGCCCCAGAACCTATCACTGACATACCAGACAACACAGCTTCACCCGTCCCACCATCTCCACATCCACCCCACAGCAGTCGCCGACACCACCACCGAGGCCGGCGCAAGAGTGACCATCACAGAAGCGGCCGCCACAGACACCGCCGCCGCCGGCGACATCACCACCACTCCAAATCCACGAGACATCACAGTTCCTCTTGGCGACATCGTTCGCCAACCACATCCACTTACTCCTACTCCTCCACACCTTCCCGCAGCCGCTCCAGACAACCCATCGATCTACGGCCCAATACCGATGCCTCCACAGCAGACAACACCAACACGGACACTTCCAAATTTCCACCAACGATCCGTCGACCACCCAACCGATGGCGACCCTCACCAACTTTTCCAACTTTACCACAAAAAGAGCAGATTCTTGCCTGGCTCGATTTCCATGCCGACCAGCTCGATGCCTCCAACCGCCCTCAACACCAATACCTCGCCAATCTCCTGTTTGACAGCAACATCACCTACAAAGAACTCAACGACTTTCGACAATACACTTACGTCAAATGGAATGAAACCACTCAGCAATGGGATCATTTCCAATACCACGCCATCTCACTACCTTTCCTCTACACCAAAGCCACCCACCCCACACCACCACCCGTTTCACGTGCCACTTCCACCCACAGGGAAGTTGCGCACATCAACGCCGGCCATACAGGCCCTGTTGGCAACATCACAAACATTCTACGACAAGGCCGCTTCCTCCCTAGCACACTCCACTTTGCCAACTATCCTGGCTTTTTTGCCCAGGGCGTACGCATCACCCACGACCAAAACCACGATCATGGCGAATTTGCTCGCATTATTCACAACACCTGGCAACTCCACAAAAACACCCACTCCCTCATCGTCACGCTCCTTGCGTGGGGCGCCGCCACAAAATACACCTCTGGCGGCGAGGAATACGCCATGACCCTGCTGAACGAGCACCACGGCGCTGTCTTTCACCAGAAAGGCAAATGCTGGGTCATCCACCCCGACCATGCCATTGTCAAAGGACTGGCCTGGTCCATCAACGCCACTCCACTAGATCCATGACCTTTCCACTTTCCACTACCAAGCAACCACCACTCCCAACTTTTGTTTCACCTGACCACACTCAACTTCGTCACCAGCAGCAAAACACCACTTGCGTTTGCGCAGCGGCTTCAAAGTTTCATTTTGCATGAATCGTATGTCACATGTCAACCTATTTTTCATGCCGAAGGGTTTTAAGGGCACTACCGCTCCTTCTTGTTGCACTTGATACTTGAATTCAATTTATATGCATTTTGGCCCGTGTGCTTTGTAATTCACTTGCATGTCTCCGTGCTGTTGTGCTGACCATGCCAGCTGCCGTGCAGCCGCTCGCCACGCCGCCGCGACAAATTGTGCAGAACTATTTGACTTATCAGCATCCCCAAGACATGACCAGCAACAACTCCCCTCCACGCGATGACACCCACACTTTACTACACCAAACGACAGTGGCTCTTTCACAGATTCACAACCTCCTCAGACAAGCAACGGACATTATGGCACATCTTCACACACGGTTTTTGCACCACATTCGACAGGCTGATCCCACTTTCCGCCGACATTTTCAACAACTACCACCACCTCCAACATACTCCATCAACTTACCCTCTCCAACCTCTTCCTGTGATTCTGCACCTTCCAGACCGCGTGCTCGTCCACCACCACCACCCTCGAACCACTCAGATGATACACCTCCTTCCCCTCCACCACAGCTCCAGCCAGCTCGCAAGCGGAAACAACCCCCACCACCGCCACTCAACCCACAGGCGGACTGGGACACCTGGGATGGGGACGCTGACTGTCGCCTCGTCGAGCTAAAAAGCAACCCCAAGCTTCGGCCCAATTGGACCTTTGTCGCCCGACGGGTTGGATTTTCCGTCGAACAGTGCCAAGCTCGATGGAAAGAGCTAAAAGACCTGCAGAAGTTACAGGACAACAAACCTCCTCCATCAGCTTCACCACCTGCTGATCTCGAGAAGCCGACACCACCACCACCACCTCGGCTCTCCTCTCCGAACCACATCTCACCGACTCCTACGTCCCCGGCCAACACACCACCACCACCATCACAGGCAGACTTCTCACCCTCTCCAACGACAACCCCTCGATCTACACACGACATGTCGCCACATGAAGCTTCACCACTGCAGCCGGCTGCGGAGCGAGCGCCCAGTGAGGACAGGCATCCGGAACCACATGAGGACCCGCCAATCGGCAGTTATTTCATGTGATCAGTTTCACCTATTCTCTCTTTGCGTGCTACAGGATAAATTCACCAGCATGCCTCAGCAGTTTGCATTTTTCACATGTCAGCCTCCAGTTTTCAACATTTACTGCTGTTTCTGTTTTCTTTTTGTATTTGTTTTTCACGAGTTTTTTGCCCTGCGACGCTATTCCGTTTGCGCCCTGAGGAACATCTTTGTATTCCATATTCCATATCTTTTGACTGGCTCACTTCAGTCCCGCAGCATTTACGTGGCGCCCCGCACTTGAGCCTTCCTACCACCGCTTATGGCTTCTTCTCGTGACCGCACTCCAGCCAACACTACAGGCACTGAATCTTTCTTACCAGGACGACCTCCCAGTTGGCTCCGCCCCTCTATCCGCACTCAACCAGACTTCCACTCACTCGACTGCTCACTGGACATCCTTTTCCTGACTATCCAACACATTCGCCGCCACCCACTCCACACGGAACCTATGCCGGACCAAACACATTTCCACGATCACAGAGCATACAACATCCTTTACCAGCTACGACGGCACATGGTACTAATGGACCGGATCGTTGACAGCGTTTACCAGGCAAGACGTTTGCTCCAATTCGTCCCGGGAGAGCCTGGACTTCCAGGGCAATACCGCATTGACCCCACAGCGCAACTCACCTCCAGCAACCTTGCCGCACTTCACCACACACCACCCGGCTTCCCCGTGCCACCTGCCCACTCCGACCACTCACCTTCACCTTCTTCACCACCACGCACGCCCCCTGAAGATGCGCAGCGCTTTCACCATTACTGGACTGGCCCTCCACCCCGTGACAACACTGACCCCGGCCAGACCAATGACCACCGGGTCAGAGAGCGCTCACGCTCACGCGACACCCGCCGGGACTAACTCCCCAAC